CCCTCTTGCGCAAGGCGGGGGGCGGGTTACGCTAGTGGCGGAGCGCCTGTGGCGGGGGCCATTGTAGCTCGGGGCCCTGAGGAGAACAAAGGTTCGGGCGGCGGCACCGGAACCGGCACCGGGACCGCTGCAGCCCAGGGACGGCTCTGCCCTGCCGGGGACATCACCCCAGCACCCGCTCACCCCCTCACTCCACATAAACCTCACCCGAAGCTCAGGCACAAACGTAGTCCTGGCCGAGGTGGCTCCTCCCAAAAGGCCCTTTTTTGGGGGGCAATTTTAGGCTGGTTCCCACAGGGGCAGCCAGGGAGGGGCAGGAGCACCAGGCACAGCGTTGTCTCACAGGCAAAGCCATGCTGGCAGCAAGCAGCCATATGCTGCAGAATACCACAAAAAACTCTCCAAATTACATATATATATATATATATGTGTGTGTGTGTGTGTATAAAGAGGCAACAGGTCAGGTTTGCATTTGTACAATCACCTCATGGGCAAGCACTTGGGCCTGGGGCAGCCCAGAGGTGCTGCCACGCGGCACAGCATAAAAAGGGAGAATCTGCCTAAAAAGCTGACCGCTTTGGAGCAAGAAAAAGTGCGGCAAGCACCGGAGTCCTTCTCCAATCGTTATTTGCCCAGTGGAGGGTATCAGGGGATACTGGGCCCATCTTGTACTACATGCGTTTGTCCAAAAAAGCAACATTTGCCGGGTGTGGATTCCACCGAACGGCATCCAGAAACGAGACATCCTGAGGGGCTGTGTTCCTTGGAGCCCGTCAGCTCAGATGGCCTAATGCTAAAAGAAAGGAAAAAAAAATAAAAAAAGGCAAAAAGAAAACCACACACCCTGCTCTGAAAAGGACAAGGATTCAACCTATGTGAATAGATTGGTGGGTTAGGAAAGCAGCAAGAGATTTTTAAAAAGTGGAGGTGACATTTTCTTCATTGTATAGTCTAAGAAGACTCATATTCTTTTTTGCACCCCAAGACAAAAGCCATCTCTATTCAATCACATGGATCTTCCCTTCACTGACTCAAGTGTCCTTTCCGGAAAAAGAAAACCCCATCGTTATTCAGAATTGCCACTCATACTCCCGAGTAGATTCTGCTTAATTTCACATGAGATTAAACCTTATGCTGAGCACAACACTGACTTCTTAAATAGACTCCCAATTATAAATGTAGAGGAGCAAGTATAAGCTTTACCACTACAATGTGAGATAAAATAAGCAGAACCTTGAATGAAAAGCTCTAGCAGATCTGGACAACTCAGAAGGTCAAGAATATTGCCAGCAAAGCCTTAAAAAGTTTCTTTAATGTACATTGCCACTAAGAACTAGGCTGTCAAGTGCACCCTGCTAAATCCAGTCATCTGGGATTCAGCGATTCTGGATGACGTCCGGCTAAATCATCATCTACTAATTTCAACAGAGGCAGATGGAACGGTTAATTAAAATAAATTCTGAAGCACCTAATCTCCCCCAAGTGACAGTTAACACCCACAGTTCAAATTCCCTTGGAAGCAAAAAAAAAATCACATGCCCTTTATTTCCTCCCCCCCAAACTAGAACTGGAGTCGGTTCCTTTTCCACTTGGCTATTAATCCAATTTGATCTTCCAATGCTCAGCACTTCTGTGATATTAAGGCTGTCCTAGAACAAAGTATCATTTAGCAGGCAGTAGAAAATCGTTCCCAATTAGCGTCTCTCCCGTTATTAGTTAGCGGGTGACATCTACTGGCAGGACCCATATTGCAGAGCCCATATTGGGCTCGGCTGCACCTCCCTGGCCCCAGCTCCTCAGCTCCAGACAGCAGGTGCTGCCACAACCACCCCATTTTCCTTAGGTCACAGTTAATTATCACAGTGACTTCAGATGGGGATAAAAGAAATGCTGCCCTGTACACATTGTTTGTGTCTGAATCACTGAGGGCCTCGGGCCAACACAGCTGCTTTTGTTGAATTTTCTGTCTCCAGTATGGAACAGTCTCAGCTCAGGGTTACTGTATTACTAGAAATCACTAGAAATCAGGATGTTCCTAGAAAGACTTGGAAAAACTGCCTTGCAGCACCTGAATGCTGCCATGAACCCAGGCCCCTCATTCCCCCATAAATCACATCTACTCACCAGCAAAACCCTGCATCAAACATCAGCAAACCTAGGGAACTGTTAACCTGTTTTCTAATCAGAAGTTATTACACAACTGTTGTTACACAGGCCAATCACTTAGTAATCTGAGTCACCTCTGTAGCTACATGAGCATTAGATCTGTGTTTAAATAACACACACTGATGCAGCTCAGGTGACATTTTCACCTATTTTATTATACACAAAACATAAGCAGAAGTTCTACTGAGGAGGCTGACCACGTCCACGACCAAATCCGCCTCTCTGCAACAGAAGAGAAAGAGCATTAGAAGTCATTGCACGCAGCCTGTGCTCCATGGAATAACCGGTCAGCACCCAGCAAAGAGCATGCACGGATCACCCACACACTGCCCCTTATCCAGGGCCGTAGTAAAAGTAGTAAATCCAGAACGCAAATACTTACGAACTGGAATTCAGTAGCTGCTCCAGCACCAGCTTCAGCCTTCTTGTCAGCACCAGCTGGAGAGAAAGAGATGAATGAGTTACAAAGAATCCGCTCCTCAAGCACAGACCTCTTGCTTCCAATCAATGGAGACTACAAAAATTCTTTTCTAATATAAAGAATTAAAATAGCCCTTGAGACAAGGACAGCTACTAAAGGAACCCAAGAAGAAATCCACAGTTCAGCTTTACAAACAAAAAGCCACATGCATGAGCAGATATGGATCAATCCTGTTGTGCAAACACCTAATCTATGCCAGAAGCTCAACTTCTCTCATTTCCTTCTTGAAAGGGGGCCAATACTGAAGACACAACCCCCTCAGGTAAGCTGCAAAACAGCAAGCTCAGCCTGATATTCATACAGCAGCATGGTAAGACACTCACGTGGGACGGCGCTGCGTCTGTAAGTGTCCCTGTCAGCTTCTCCCCGAGTCAGACGAGCAGGACGTTCACCTTCCAGACCTGTAAGTGAAACCAGCAACATCAAATGCACTGTTTTATACAAAGCAACTCATTTTGTGCGCAACCCCGCATCTGAAATAAACCTGCACTGAAGCATCACCTTACAGAGCTGCACCTCAGACAGCTTTGTATATACAAGGGTAAATACAGAAGTGATATTGTAAGGAAAACTTCAGGAGTGACATCTGTTAAACTGTGTAAGCTTGTACTTGGGTTGAGTTATAAATAATGCAAAAATTAGATTTACAGTGTCATCTAAGCGGCAGCCTACTGACAAACGCAGCTACAGCACTTGATTCAATAAGAACCAAAAATGAAGAAAAACAAAATCCCAGAAGTAGGGCCATTTGTCATGTCTGACAGCTCCTTTTTCTCTAAGCCACAAAACATGTGACATTCTCATCCCAATTTAAAAACACAGCTATATTATCGGTATCACAAATCCTCCAAAATGGAATAGATCCATACAACTAGGAGCAGATTATGTCATGTCCGATTAACACTGGACAGAACACTTGTAGGAAAGAAACAAATCCAGGTGACCACATCCTCCATGCAATTCCCATGGAGTTCCCCTGGAATATGCACGATGAAATACCAGACCGAGGCCTTCTTGCTCGAGTCATAAAAACAGAGTAAAGGTTGGTTTTTTTTCATGTCACACCACACTGTAGCAGCAGCCTCAGATGTGCTGCAAGAAACACAGGAATCATTTTCTCTGTAGGCCTGATACACACTATAGGCACTAGCTTTCCCAAACAGAAACCAGTTCTTAAAATAGATGCTTTTAGTACAAGCAGAAACACTATGCACAGATGTGTCAAGATATTTAACTAACTCGGATCTGCTTCTACATCCTTCTTTTCTGCTAGGGTTAAACTGTTTTTGTGTTTCTTTTTTTTTACTTCAGATCTGCACATCCTTTATTTCTCACAGCAAAGTTACATGTGTAGCAGACAGCTTGCACATACCAAATGCAGAGGTCTGAAATTTGCTTTATGCTAAATGTTTCAACCTTTGCACCAAGCCTCACTCGAGAAAGTTGGTAGTACTGCATGGAAGTACCAGAAAAGGCCAAAAAACCCCATAAAAGTTCAAGCAAAACTTGCGAGTTTGGATTCTGCAGCACCTCCCACACATGCACCCCTCTGATCCCTGCTCTGCCATCATCTAAAGCAGCTGGTGCCCAGGGAAACCACGGTGACACCAAAATTCCTGCAGCAGGATCAGCTAATCCTGGTGAGATGTAGGCTGAACAGGGTCACTGGCAATGACCAACATGGCCTGCGATGCTGTAAACGAAGCTCCTCACAAGAAACTCTGGGTATTTTAGCAGGGAACCAAGCACCACCCTCACATTATATATGCAGTTTCTCCAGCTCACTGATGGAGATAAACACAGCTTCCAACGACTGCACGGGATGACTTCCAGCGCTCCTCAGAGATCAAATAAACTATTTCAACGCAGTTCTGGCTTTTGAAGCACATGATGCTACAGTTTTGTTTGGCTGACAAAGCACTTGAAGGATTTGCAGGCAAAACTCCCCCACTGAACTCAGACTGACACAGATTTTGAGGGGAATACGAGCAAATGCAAAGTTGCCCAGAGGTGTGAAGAACAGAGGCCTTGAGCTTTGTCATGAAGGGTGCCCCTTCACAGAATGTGAAAAAGTTCAAGTCACAAGGACCCTCTGGACAACTCCATGTTTTATAGTTTGTGCTCTACACAGTCGCTTTTCTTTCCTGCTACTGGACAAAAAAAGCCCCACCAAACAAAAGGAAAAACAGGAAAACCAAACATAAGGGATCTCACATGTCATTTCCAAATGCACACAAGCCAAGTGACCATCTCTCCCACTCTAATTACTACCTTAGAACGGCACGATGTTTTCAGAACTGAACAACATGGTAGTTTGATGGCATTCATCTAAAAATTATTTACACTGTACTACTATGTAATGCTGCCCCTCATGAAGGAATCTAAGTGATTCCTAAACCATTCCTAGGCCATCAAATGAGTACTCCAAAAGGGGACATTCTACTTAGGCTGCCAAACATGGAGATCTGCAACTCCTACTTGATTTTTTGATGTTGCTATTTGCAACCCCAAAACCTTCCTCTCAGCAAGGCACTGCAGGTGCTTGCAGGAAACACTGCAGCATTTTGCAAGGAGACACCTGGGAGGGAGCAATTGCTGAGAGATCCACACTAGCAGATGCGTTTACAGGACCAGCATCTCCATTTCTCTGGGGAATTGAAAACCCCATGAAAAAAAACAGAACTACAACCAAAAATTGCTACCTGCATTTACAGAAAGCTTTTAAAACTGAAGGCAGCTTTAAGGACTTGACTTGCCTGACAGCATGTTAAAATCCACGGCAAGGTCAACACCGTGGGCACCCAAGCAGTCCTAAATGCCAGACACAGCCCCACTTGAAGCATGTGCAGCACGTGTGTTTTTCTGCCATTAAATCTTTTACCACCCTATGCTATATTAAGAAGAAAGTTTGTTCCTTGTATGAGCAATGCCAGGAAAGGCTTCCCAACGCGGAACTCGAGCAAAGTTCCCTGTATCCACTGGCCTCCCGCTGGAGAACTGCAGCAATGTGGAGCAGGGTTCTTCCCAAAACACCCTAAAAGCCCTTCTGGGTGCCAAGGGACAGGCTCAGCCAGGGACCTCCACAGGGTCTGGGCACCCGCTACCATCTAGTTCCACAGTGGCAGGTTTCAGCAGGCCCGCTCTGACACTCAGGCCACGGAAACATTGTGTCCTGTTTTCTTCCCAGGCTTTTGCTCCACTCCACGTCTTTCTCCAGCGCTCTCCAGCTCCTCAGTAGCCCAACAGCCATCTCACTAGCCCCACATACAAAGCAGCAGCTCTATTTGCTCTACTCATGTTTATGTCCCCAAGAATCACTCGCGCCGGCGTGGCCGACTACCCAAAAGGACACAGTCCGACAGGACACGCGTCGCCCGGCGCCGTTTACCTTTGGGCCGCGGCCGGCCGGTCTCGGGGCGGCTGCGGCGCAGGGTGGCGGGCACGATCTCGGGCGGCAGGTGCAGGTAGTCGCGCAGGTACTGGATGCCCTCGTTGGTCAGGTACCAGTAGAAATGCCTCCACGCGAACTGCTCCTTCACGTAACCGCGGGACTTGAGCGACTGGGGAGAGAAGCCGCGGTTGTTCTTTAGTGCATGATCTTTATCACCATCCAGCACCTCCAAACAACACCATCAACACGGGTTTTTACTCTGCTAGCAGAGGATCTTATCAGCAACAAGCAGGGAATAACAGAGCAGGAACAAGCAGAACAGGAAACAAATAAATAGAACACACACCAATAACTAGGAAAATGCACCCCCGCCACCGCCGGGTGTTCGCGGCGCTGCCTGATTGAAACCCGCCTAGCCGGCGCGGGGGGTCGGGAACGGGGTGAAGCCCTTCCCGAACAGCCCCGATCCCCGTTCCCTGCCGAGACCGGGATTTGGGCTGCTGGAGCCGCCCGGCCCTCTTGCTGGGGTACAGGGAAATGCTCCCCCCACCCCAGGCCAAGCCAGGCCACGTTTGGCAGAACAATAAACATTCCAATAAATATTTCAGTAAAAAATCAATACTTTTTTCAATAAATGTTTAATTAAATATTACAATTCATATTTCAATAAATATTTCAATATCTGTTTCATCAGGCAGGAAAGGAAGCACAGCCTGGGACGTTGTGGCAGGCTTCAGATTCCAGCCCCCTGGAGCACCCTGTTCCCGGGATTTCGCCAGCCTGGGTGTTTGAGGGGAAACACCCCCATGTGCCTCTGGCTTGTGGGATCGTGGCCCTGTCCCCACGGTGTGTCGGGATCATCCCGCGCATCCCGGCCCGGCCAGGGGATTAGTGGCCCAGGGTGGCGGACGGTGCC